GCCGCAGCGCTGGGCCCGTGTCGCGCCCGGCGCCGCGGAGAAGATGCGCTTCTCCCTGCGTGTTGAAATTCTCATAAGCAGAAACCTGTAAAGAAGTTTCTGGTCACGCCGAAGAGCCTCCCAAGTCTGAGAGTGACATTGAAGCGTTCATAGCGTGGTATCTGTAGATACGCTCAGTGCATGTTGATGAAAATCCTACCTTTTATTTTTTCCCCCCCTCTCAGAGAGCTGTTGTGCGTATGGATGAACGCAGGGAAGAGCAAATTGTGCAGCTGTTGAACACTGTCCAAAGTAAAAATGAAAAGGAGCAAGAAGCCATGTCCTGGTGGTCTGGGGATGAAGAAGGGTAAAGACAAACAATTACTAATCAGGGGAGGTTTAGATTGCCTACTAGGAAACATTTCTTCACAGAAAGAGTGGCCAAGCATTGGAACAGGCTGCCCAGAGAGGTGGGGGAGTCCCCATCCCTGGAGGGGTTCAAAAAACGGGCAGAGGTGGCACCTGGGGACATGGTTTAGTGGGCATGGGGGTGTTGGGTTGGTGGTTGGACTGATGATCTTAGAGGGCCTTTCCAACCTTAGTGATTCCTAGTTTTTACTTTCATTATAAATAATCCATCCACCAAGCCAGGAAACATGAAATTGCTACTCTACCCTTAACTGGTTTAGTGATGGACTTGGTAGTGTTGGGTTAATGGTTGGAGTGGATGATCTTAAAGGTCTTTTCCAACCTCAATGATTCTATGATTCAAATGCTTTTATTTACTTTGAATTGAACCAACTTCCCACAAACTGGTAGGAAGATATATCAGAAAACATTTATGTTTGGTGAGTGAATTAGGTTAACAAATATACTCCATTTTCTCTACGTGTATTGTCATATTGAAATGGTTGCTGTAACCGTTGCTGAAAAACTCTTTTCCAGATTATTGTTGAGTTTGGGGTATTAAGTTTTTACTTAAAATCATAAAATCCTGTAAATAGATCTCCAGGTCTCCTAGGAGACACGTGGAATTTTTCAGCTCCCCAGCCTCTGGAATTACTCTTCCAGGGCAGCATTTGACTTCATTTTTCAGTTATTGTACAGTCTTGGAATGTTTTCTTTGCCTCTGTGCGATAGGGTCTGTTCTTAACACTTAAAGGATTTTAAAAAATAGTGGTGAAATGGGCAGCCAGGTGTGTTGCTCTGAGTCCACTGCAGTGAGGTGTTTGGGTCTGTTTGCCTGGATGGTCCCGTTACAGGGCAATGGTTCTGACAGCAGGGTAAGCAGTACTTCTCTGGAGATGCTTTGTTAGCTTCGTTTCGATACCAGAGAACATGTTACACTTCTAGATACTGATATAAAATTTTTGACGGCTGGTAGTTTCCAGACTTCAGTTGTTTTAATGGCATACGCCATATTCTCATTGGCTGATGGTCAAGTAACTCATGGATGTAATATCTCAAAAACAATTTAAGGTTTGCCTTGAATGGTTCTGTGTACCCTTCACAGTGGCCAAGCACATCTTGGATAATTTTTGAACGTTCTGTTCTCTGCGCTTATTTCAGACCTACTCCAGAACAGCCTGCAAAAGTGAAACCAGATGTTGAAAAAGCTCCTGTAAGACAGAGACCAGTCTTGGAAAAAACATTTCTTGATCGGGATGTAGAATATCTCTTTGAAAAAAATGAGCAGGATACTGATTTAGATGAGCAACTTAAAGAAGACTTAAGAAAGAAGAAATCTGATCCTAGATATATTGAAATGCAGGTACTTTTCCATGTGTTAAGTAGAAGGCTTTTGATTGGAATTTTTTTTTTTTTTTAAATTAAACTAACCCAAAAACATGGCTTCTTGCAATTTACTTACTAGGCAGTTGTCATGATGTTACTTTGGCTAAAAATTACCTTCGGAATTTGCAAAATGCGTACCTATCGATAGGACAGTGATTAAAAACCAGGCTTTTGGTGGCAATTTCTTATTGCATGAAGTGTAAAATTTTAAGCTTACACATTGTTTAGTTGGGTGGGGTTTTCTGTTTTTTAACAGATTGTATCCCTGCATTTACGTCTAAAACTGAAAGCACAAAAATGGGTTCTGAAGGAATCGCCTCTTAAAAATGTAGTTTATGTTGTTCTAGTAGCCATATATAAAGTTGTCAAAACAGTCTTACCAGGAACAGGCGGTTCTCCCTTCGATACAAGGCCCTGGTCTTGTAACTGTATGTACGTACCTCTTCGTGTACTGAACTGTTGGTTTTAAATAATTTTTTGCTAAATTTAATGAAACTGAAGACATGCATGGAATTAAAACTTACTTCTAGTGAGCCTGTGTTTATATAAGTATTAGCCAAACAGTTTGTGATGTTATTTCACAGTTTAGCCTAGATCACAGATGAAATCTGTTATATCAGTGTTGAAAAGGTGTTTAAAGATATGTATGGTTATTTTCTTTTTCCCCAGAGATTCCGAGAGAAACTCCCTTCATATGGGATGAGACAGGTAAATGTGTATTAAGTTTGAAAGAATATGCATTTCTGTTGCTCTGTTGTAAAATAGGAGAAAACAGTTGTGTAACTGGGAGTAACAGGAAGCTGTCGTTGCCTTTTGTGAAGGTGCTGAAGCCTCCCAAGTTCTGACACTGGCTTTGACTTCTTCCCAGGAGGTAGCTCAGGTTCACTGCTTCATGCTATGTATGAAGTTACCCTGGGGCTATGTACAGTTTTATCAGGAGGGGCAGCTTTAGCCATGGAAATGGTATTGAATGCTGGATACCTTTAAGTACATTTATTTTTTTAAAGTATAGATCTTTTCTTCTTTCTCTGCCAGTTAAACTTCTAGAACGTTCCTAGTTAATTGGATTTTGTAGAGAGGAATTGACCACTACGTAAATTGCCATGCTTTTTTTTTCTTGTATATATAAAACTGTGGCCATTTGTTGAGCGTTTGCCCAATTTAAAAAAGAAAAAAGTTTAATTGGCATTATATTAAATTCTAATCACAGACTTAATGGCTGCACTGCTGGCTCTTACTGCCATTAGTTTCCCAGTCAAGGTATAACGTCAGTGATAGTATGGGTTATTATTAATTAATTCTTCATTTGATGTTGCGTGTATGAAATAGAAATTGAGTATTCTGTTATATTTTCTTTTGCAGGTTCAATGAATGATTAGTGAGCTTCCTTTCTGAACTTAATGTTTTTGTCATAATGTGGTCCTTCCTGTTAGTGATTGTGTCTTCAAATAATTACATTCCTCATTACAATCCTTTGGATTGGGAGGTAGAGGCTGGGAGTACAAGAAATTGTTTCTGTCAGTATAAGAAATGTTAAAATATTGCCCTGGAAATCTTCGGTTAGTACAGTCTAGGAGTCCAACAGGGAAAACACTTGTTTTCAGTCGCCAAAGATATACAGAAGGCAAGTAGGAGGGAGAAAAGTTTGAAAATGTATTTCAGGCTTTCATTTTAGTTATTTTATGTTGTTTTCATACAGGATCTTAAGTTTTTAAAACTAGTATTCAGATTTGGTACGCTTTAAACATTACACATGTGAAGTTCAAATGTGCAGAAATTACTTCTGTGTGGTTTAAACTAAATTTTTTTTTTTAGTATCATGAGAAACAGATGAGCATCTGTTTCTTTAGTTGCTATGACTGTCTTCTAAGTTCTCTGCACAGTAGCAGAGAATTGTCAAAATCCTCCTAAAATCTGTTTTGAGCAATAATGCAATAAATGTTTTCTCTTTGTTTGGAAACAGGAACTTGTAAACCTTATAAACAATAATCGAGTAACTGTGATAAGTGGTGAAACTGGTTGTGGAAAGACAACCCAAGTTACACAGTTCATCTTGGATGATTACATAGAGCGAGGGAAAGGGTCTACTTGCAGGATTGTTTGTACTCAGCCTAGGAGGATCAGTGCTATCTCGGTAAGTGCCGTTTTGACAAGCTGAGTAACTTATTTCTTGTGATTATTTTTTTTCCCAGTAAATCTGAAGAAAAATTACTGCTTTACTCAGAGTCATTGAATGAAAATGCATTTCTTGCTGGGCCTAGGATCCATGGGCAAGCTTATGAATCTGCTAGACTATTTGAAGTTAAGATCTGAAAAGATTCCCAGTGACCAGATAGGTACTGTGCACCAAAGGAGCTGCTCTGCCGTCACATGTACTCATACTAAATTTCAAGCTCAAGATAAGCATTCAGCCTGTAGTGGACAGTGAAGATGGCTTTTTGTGTGCTCGTTTTCAGTCGCCTTAGATTCTATTGCAAATAACAGTTTCGTTAATATACACTAATTAGGTATTTCGTAAGTTTTGGTCATTAATAGAGTACCGGCACTGCAAGCCTCATTCTTCCCTGAATTCCGTCGCGGTTTGTATCTGTGATTTTTAATGGATTTGGGCAGTGCAAGTGTGAATTAAGGTAAACACTAATGTTGTGTCAGGCCCTTTAGAGGTATATTAATGAGGAAGAAAGAATTTGGCTTTTAAGTGCACAGTAATTGCTATTCTTGATTAAGCGTCAAATGATTATAGAACCTCACTTCCTATGAAGAAAAGCTTGCCCTGCTGAAAGGGCGCGTGTATTGCTAATGCCTAAGTGGTTTTGTTCCTTTAAAATATGTCCTGGGTCACAACCCAGTTACTGGGTTGCTGGCAGGAAGCTCTGTTCTCAGTGGAGGAGAAAAAGTGATTTTCAGGGTGTTTTTGTTGTTTACATAATGTCTCGGTTCTGGGTATTTCCTGCTGATGAGTAACTAAATCATAGATCAGCCTTGTGGGATTTTAAAAAAAAATTTCTTTAATGCACTATTTTGATTTTATTTGTTTTTCTAAGGTGGCTGAGAGAGTTGCTGCTGAAAGGGCAGAAGCATGTGGTAATGGCAAGAGTACAGGATACCAAATTCGTCTACAGAGGTGAGAGAGGCTCCCTTGGCAGTTTTTGTGCATTCATGTAAAGTAGTATCTGTTGTTATTCAAGCAAGAAAATTTGAAAAGTAGTTCTTATCAGAATGAAAGCAGTCATCTATCTTATTTTCTCCAAAAGGAATTCCCATGAGTAGCTGGTGTAGGGCATAAGGTT